ACCAAAAGTTCTAAGTCAGAAAGCATGCATGGTTCCTTCTATGTGAATAGTGGTGTCATCTGGAATGTAGGAGGATCCTTCTCACTCCTGTCACCAGCAGTCTCGGTGACACTAAACACAGGGCTCTTTTCAATCCTCTCTTGAACCTGAACTTTCACCAGTGTCTGACTCTATTGACCTGTCTTTACAATAACTGTGGAAAGATATGCAAAATACAAAGTTTGTCACCATTTAATTGCTATGTCACCATCACCACTGACTGTTACAGCACAGTTTAAACCCTACACCCATTAGGCACTGACTCCTCACTTAGCCTTTGGTCACCCAACCACAGCTCTACTGTCTCCATGGGTTTGGCAATTCTATGTAGTTTATGTAAAACCATATATCACTTATTCTTGTATGACTGACTTATGTGGTTTAGCATGATTTCTTCAAGATTCATCCATTTTGTAATGTGTTAAGATTTTCTACCCTTCTAAGGTTAAATAATCTGCCATTTTTTAATAATTTACTTGTTTATTTGCATTGGTGTTTTGCCTGTATGTATGTCCATGTGAGGGTGTCGGATCTTGGAGTTACATTACAGACAGTTGTGAGCTGCCATGTGGGTGCTGGGAATTGAACCTGGGTGGTCTGGAAGAGCAGTCAGTGCTCTTAACCGCTGAGCCATCTTTCCAGCCCTGTGCCATCGTTTCTTATGCCACTTTTTTTTTCTGTTTTGGTTTTTTGAGACAGGGTTTCTTTGTGTAGCCCTGGCTGTCCTGGAACTCACTCTGTGACCAGGCTGGCCTCAAACTCAGAGATCTGTCTGCCTCTGCCTTCTGAGTGCTGGGATAAAGGTGTGTACTACCACCACCTGGCTTTTATGCCACGTTTTGATTATGATCCCTGTTTTTTAAAAAAATCTTCCCTTCCCTTTGCTTCCACAGCATCACATTTTTCCTGTTTTTCTTTCTACCTTCTTGACATCTGTTTCTTTGTTTTCACCCTATACAACTTGGCCATTCGTAGTCAGAGTTCCCCAATACTAACACCAGGCCCACCACTTTTTTCCACAGACAGTATCACCAGGAACCATTAGCCTCCTTCCAATCTGCTTGTCAGTGTTCCCATGTGTGCAGTTTCCAGTGAGGCAGAGCACATGGAATGGTGGGAGGTGAGCATCCCATCACCAGTTAGATCAATAGAATCAGTGCTGACGAACAAAGGGATGACAGATGTCTCAGCCAAATTGCTTTCACATCTGGATCCGGAGCTGAGTATCATTTGAAAAGCATGAGGCCAAAATATTGCCTAAGAAGCTAATTCCTCCTATGACTTCACAGAAAGGAATGGCACAAGAGTCAGCTATCAGGAGACAGGTTGCCATGGGGCAACTGGTATCAGGCTGTCCTTGATAACAGAGATGGATTTTAAGGAAAACTACATTTATGTGGAAAAATGAACACAACTGATACCTTAGTACTATAGATGCAGCATGTAATCAATCTTCTGTTTTAGATGCTTAAGGCCAAAAGAACATAGACCCTCTGAAGATTAAACAAAAGACTCGCCCATTGAGATCCTTCCTTACCAACTCCTCCTCTTTTATTTCATCTCATTCTAGAGCTGGAATCTGCACAAAATTTAGAGAGAAATGAAATGGGTCTGTGCTTCTTCCTTTTTCTCTTCAATGCTGATAATTCTTGATTAACAACTTCAGTCTCAGCTTTCTCCACCCTTTAGAAACAGTCTTGTTATACCCCTTCACAATTTTTAGCCACAGACTTCCAAAGCTTAATGCATGCAAGAAAGGAACGTGTGTTTTCTTTGGGATTGAGCCTGGAAAATGCAAATCATCTGTGTGACTAGTCAAACTATCTAAGAAAAATCAAGTAACAAACTCAGAGTATTGAAAATAGTTGGGTTACAACATCAGTCCATGTAGCAATAGGACATAATCCTGTCCTGTGAACGTAGCAAATGTAGAGCAACAAAGGTAGCTAGTATCCTTGTCTTTAAGTTAACCCTTATGGTGTTCTACGTTGGCTTAGGCATACTACTAGAGACAATTTAGCTCTTTCATTGCCCATGAGATTTGTTAATTAGGCGATCAGGTAGGCACATGACCCAAACTACACCAATCAAATGATTACCCTGAGATATTTGATTCTTCAGCAGAAAAACAGAAGCCAAAAGATTGATCTCTCCCCATTCTCATCTCCCTCTCCTTTTTTGGTTGCTCAAATCCCTGTGGCTACCATGTTCCTTAATTTTTCTTTGGTAGCTGAGCTGGGCTTTCCAACCCATGAGCCACTAACATACCAAATGGAAATTTTCCGTTCTGCCTACTTGAACTAGTTCCCTTTATTGCCAATTAGCATTTCCCTCTTGAGTACTTACAAGTGCCAAGCACCATTGTAAAGTTTTTGTGTGGATGATTCCATCATTCAGTTGTTTAAACAACCTGCCAATTATTATTAACAGCTGACAAAGACGAGTCTTAGACAATATAAGCAACTTGTCTAAGGGTACACAGCTTAGCAGACCAGGAACTGGGATTCAGATTCAGGTGATATGACTCCTGGCCTTTAGTATCTAATCTCTGGGATAGTTCTTCAGGAAAACTCAGTAAGTGGGCCTTTGGATCACTAAGTGATGGGGAGGAGTTCTTGAGGGGAAGATAGATGGGAGAAATTGAGAAGATGGGGAGTTGTTCTACTGAGTAAAGCAGCAAAATTTTGGGAGTCATTTTCTCACATTTAGAAAAAGTAAACATGGAGTACCTAAAATTAAATGAAGGCGATAGGTAGTAGAAAGAGTGTTGTGGAATATTATTTGAAGATGTGTTACATTTGTTTATGCCATGGAACATTTGTTTAATGATGAAAAGATGTGTTGCATTCTTTTATGCTGAATTTGTTTAACTGTGTGAAGCTGTATTAGTTTGCCTGTCTAAGACTCCTGATTGGTCTAATAAAGAGCTGAACAACCAATAGCAAAGCAGGAGAGAGAAATAGGTGGGGCTGGCATGCAGAGAGAATAAATAGAAGAAGACAAAGAGAAGATGAGGAGCAAAAGAAGGAGAAAGAGAGGAGGACATCAGGGGTCAGCAACCCAGCTACACAGCAAGTCATGGAGCAAGAAGTAAGGAAAGGTATATAGAATAGAGAAAGATAAAAGCCCACAGGCAATTTGCATCATTAAACAAATGTTCTACAACATAAACAAATGTAGCATATCTTTAAATGGTATTCCATAACACAAACATGTCTGTGACTAAAAACTATTGATAATTATTACATATGTCTTGTGAGAACCTCATAAAACAAACAGTTACAACAGAGAGCTGACCTTCAGGGACTACAATCTAGTTAGAGATGCTTCCTGTAAAAGGCCTTAACACAAGGCCAGTGAAGGTAAACTTTCAAAATGGGGAATTGTGGTGGTTTGAACAAGAATGGTCCCCTCAGACTCAAATATGTTTAAATGCTTGGTCCTCAGTTGGTGGAACTGTTTGGGAAGGGCTCAAAGGAAGTGTGTCTCTAGGAATGAGGGCTTCGAGGTTTCAAAAGCTGATCCCATTCCAGTTTGTTCTCTTTCTTTGCCTCATACTTGCTACTAAAGGTGAGCTCTCAGCTACTGCTCTAGTACCACATCCAAGGGCCTGCTGCTATGCTTCCCACCATGAGGGTCATGGACTCACCCTTTGAAATTGTAAGCCTTGGGGTTGGAGGGATGGCTCAGCAGTTAAGAGCACTGGCTACTCTTCTAGAGGACCCAGGTTCCATTCCCAAGCACCCACATGGCAGCTCACAACTGTCTGTAACTCCAGTTCCAGGGGACCCACACCCTCACACAGACATACACACACCAGAACACCAATGCACATAAAAGAAAGAAACCATAGGTCTTAATAAACTCTTTCTTCTAAAACTGGCCTTGGTAATGGTGTCTCTTCCTAGCAAACAGAAAAGAGAGAGCCACCAAAGGTTTTCAAGTACACAAGTGGCACAATTGGTGGTTACTCTAACTGCCACATCCAGGATGGCTCAGAAAGTGGAGAGACAAAGACAGGAGGCCTCTCAGGAAACAGATAAGAGATGTGCACAGAACAGTAAGGATCAGGGTGAAAGTGTTCTATATGAAGAGAGAAGAGTAGAAAGGACTTGGAGATGGCCGGCTCTATACTGACTCGTCACATTCTTGGTGCCAGCCCTGCCAGCACATTAGGGAAGGCCTCCAAAACTCAGCTAACACACTCCCAGACATGAACATTTCCACACCTTTCCTACTTATTGCTCCATCTCACTCTTGGTATACACTCTGTCACTGTTCCTTTGGCTACTGACTTAGATTCTACTGTGTAGAAAATGTGTTTTGTCTACTACGACAAACAGAGATCTGAGGTGGGAATGTAGCTCAACAGTTAAGGACTTGGCTAACATCTGAGAGGCCCTAGGTTCAATCCCAGTACTACAGAAAAACCAGGAACAGGGAGGAGCAATAAACAGGGAATGGCCTAAGACCATAAGAGTATTTCTTCTTTACTTAATCAGAAGACTGACTTGTGTCTGAATCAGTAACTCAATGCTGTTATCTACAAGGCAAATTCCACCCTGCTTCCTCAATGAGTAAGAAGTTTTTGGATTGTCAGCTTGATGTCACTACTATAGGAAATACCTTTTATTCAAAGGCATGTGCGGTGAAATCAAAGGGAGGGACATCAAAGGATTTTCTTTTTCCTTGGAGAATAAAAGCCATTTCAATGAATCGATCCTCAGACAACTTCTCAACTTCTACTGATCAACACTGGGCCCATGGGCCTGCTCCCATCCCAGTCACTAGTAAGGGGAAATGAGTTTACCATGATTCATTGAGACCTAATACCACTCATCCTGTGTGCTGGTCACGTGCTTCTAAACAGAGTTGGGGTTTGGTTCACAGGCAAGAAGGGGAAAGGTTGTGGAGCAATCAGCTTAATAGTGTTTGGCATGGAGTCTGCATGCAGCAATTCATCCTGCCCCAAATGATCACTTCTTAGCCAGTTCTTGACATTCAGCTTCAGTGCTTCCATCCCCTACCTTCCCTCCTACTCTACAAGGAAGGTCCAGACTTCATTTATCCTGAGTTCTGAAGCAAGCAAGATGTAGGCACTCATTACACAAGAGTAATTGGACTGGGGGTGTAAGAGCACCAGAAGGCTTGCTTAGCATGCAAGAAACCTTGATTTCCATCTACAACACCACAGACAACTGACTAGCTACAGCCCTTGTCTGGGTCTGCAGGACAAGGCTGACCTACACTGCAGGACGTTGGTGAGGTCATTTGAACCTCCCTTGCTAGTTTTGCCTTATATGTGATAATTTGGGAGTGAGTGCTTGCCTTTAATCCCTGGAGTCTGTCAAGTGTTGAGTTTTAAGGGGGTGGATAATATAAACACCGAGGATTAGGCGAGAACAGTTTGAGGAGGAGCTGAGAGAAGACTAGAGAATGCCAACATCTCTGCAGATGACAGAGCCTTTGTAAGTTGCTCTCATTATTACTGCTTTTCTGCGGTTCATTTCACATTAAAATTTCCCCCAGCATTTGGCATGGAGAAACCTTGGCAATGTCGTTTTGAAAAAATAATTATCATGTATTTTTTTTTTCCCCGTTAAAGCCAAGCAGAGTTTTAAAGATGGCTACACTCTGGAGTATTCATTAGGAAAATCTCTTGGGCGTTTACAAAGTGAAGGTCATTAGAGCTCTATAATGCAACTGATTTCACTCACTGGCCCCTCTATTCAGCTACACTTTGATTGTTCTTTATTCAGATAGTTCTAATTATCATAAACATAAAAGCAATGCATCTCCTTATTTTAAAGAAGTTTTTATTGCACAGTCTCACTCATATGCAGAACCTAGATTGAAATACATCCCAGGCATGGAAGCAGAAGGCTTACTACTTGAGGGAGAGGAAAGGAACTAGCAAGTAAGGGGAGGAGGGACAAGAGAGGGTGATGGGAGGGTGCATATAACATGTCATTAAAAAATGCATTATTTTGTAGGCTTGAGGAAAAAATCTTTATTTTATTCCAACCTGAGGCTGGGCTGTTTTGTCCTTACAAATGTATCCATTAACCCTCATGCCCTACTATTTGTTTTTAATTTTTCCCGAGGGCTTGTGACTAATCTGGACCAGCTCTCTCTGACCTGGTCCTTCTAACTTCCCTATTATAGGCCATTTATATATCATCTCAACTTGAGTTTATTCTGGGGCTTTTTATATGTGTCAGATAAAATTTGAGCTTAATTGGGAAATGCAAGGAAGCAAAAGTCTTTCATTAAAGGGTGACTTCATCCCCTTTCTGTCCTTACAAATGTATCCATTAACCCTCATGCCCTACTATTTGTTTTTAATTTTTCCCGAGGGCTTGTGACTAATCTGGACCAGCTCTCTCTGACCTGGTCCTTCTAACTTCCCTATTATAGGCCATTTATATATCATCTCAACTTGAGTTTATTCTGGGGCTTTTTATATGTGTCAGATAAAATTTGAGCTTAATTGGGAAATGCAAGGAAGCAAAAGTCTTTCATTAAAGGGTGACTTCATCCCCTTTCTGTCTTTCATCCTTCTCTCTCTCTCTCTCTCTCTCTCTCTCTCTCTCTCTCCACACACACAGTTTTCTGGCTACCCTGGTTACCCTGGATTAGTCATCCTTTACAATAAAAATACCTTAGACCTCCATCCTTTTGCTAATTATAATCTTGTGTACACAGCTCTCTCTCTGGATTGCTCTCTGTTCAGTTCCATTTCATTCTTCAAGTTTTTTTCTTCAGAACTCATCTCTGCAGACCTCCATTTCTGCCCCTGTGGATATTTTTATTTTTTGTCTTTATCTTATGTACAATTACAAACAGGTGTGAGCTACCATGTGGGCGCTGGTAATCGAACCTGGGTCCTCTGGAAGAGCAGCCAGTGCTCTTAACCGCTAAGTTATCTCTTCAGCTCCTACCCCTTATGGATATAAATCCCTCTTAGTCTCTGTGTTCTTTGTAATAACTTGAAAATTGTCATATGTTAAGGCTTGTCGAGCTGTCCCTAACCAGTCCCGGCACTGCTAGTCAGGCTTCAAGCTTTGGACTCTAACAAGCAGGAGACTGCCTTCATGTCAATGCCACCCTTGATAGTGCATCAAGACGTCAATTGCAGTGACATGAACATCAGCCCTCAGAACGGGTATGTCATGTGCTTGGGGCATCACAATTGGAGCAACACGGTTCCACGTAAGCCTGATTTACTCCCTTCCCCCACACTGTCTATCGTTTCTTGCCAGACTGGGAACTTGATGAACAGAGGGTTCGACTTCACAACTTGGAAAGGGCATACACTTCAGTGTTTCAAGCAGTGATGGTGAGAGTTGTGCTAAATTACCCACTTCAATTTTCTTTGAGACTGGCGCTCAAGAATTTAAAAATAGAGGCTCCAACGATTGTTCCCTGGGTGAAGATTTCCTCAAGAACAAACGGTTCACAGAAAAGAAAAAACAAAACAAAAACAAAATTACTCTTGAGAATCTGAAGTTATATTTGATGCCTCTCCTAACAGGACAAGTGTGGCCTACATTTTTGATGGGATACTGTGTTCCATCAACCAGAAGTAAAACTTTTGTTAACACATTATGTTAGAGGGCCCAGCTCACTATAGGCTGTGCCACCCCTGGGCTGGTGGCTTTGGGTGCTATAAGAAAGCAGGTTGAGCAAGCCATGAATGGAGCAAGCCAGTAAGCAGCACTCCTCCATGGTCTCTGCATCAAATCCTGCCTTCAGGTTCCTTCCTTGAGTTCCTGTGCTGACATCCCTTCATGATGGATAAACCCTTTCTCTCCATCCTTTTTAGTCACAGTGTTTTATCATAGTAATAGAAATCCCAACTAAGACATATGGGAAGGAGGTTTTAATATTTTGTCCTATTTTATCATTTTGTGCAATTATTATTATTATTATTATTATTATTATTAGTGGTTATCAGAAGCCAGCCTTGGCGACCCCCATGCCTAGCTAGCCACCAGCTAGTCTAGCATCCCACCCCTCAGGTTCTGGGACCTGGCCTGAGAAGCAACTAACACCTATTCCTTCCCCCACTTCCTTAACACAGGAGATTCCGGATACCTGCCTGAGAGCAATTAACATTCATTCCTCCCCCCACCTCCTTTTTCTCTGCTTCCTCCTTTCTCTATAAAAACCCCTTGTAATAATCAATAAAGGAGACCTTGACAAAGATCCTGCTTGGTCTAGCTCTTTCTTTCCTGTCCATTATTTTCAGGCTTAGTCCACCTCGGACCCAT